GGCCTCTTCCCATTGCCAACATCGTTGGAAGGTACATGACGTCCTTTACAAAATCCTCTTTCCAGTAACTGAAGTGAAGAGGTTCCACTCAATGTTCCTGATGCTGATGTCGCCTCATAATCGTAGTTAGAGAGTTGTGCTAGGGTGGAGCCAGGCTGCTGCTATCTTGTCAACTTGTGCCAGAACTAGCCCTCCGAGTATGCTGTAGCGCTGTTGTTGTATTGTATATGATCGCCTTTCCCCCACCCGTGTGGGAAAGGTTAGCATGCCGCTCGCAGTTGGCACGAGCCCTCAGGCTGTCGTCGTGTGTTGAGCTTGTGATTACCTTAGGGGATGAAGCTTATCGGCAGCGATGCTAAATGTCGAATACAATTTGCATCAGAAATTTGGACATGATTGTGTTCTTTTTCCAGACTGCGTGCTTTTTTCAGTAAATCTGTGTTGCACGTGACATTTTTGCCTGTTTGCATACCGCAGCAGCCATAAATTATGCGTCTTTAACACGCTTTGTTCGAACAAATGATGCTCCTCAACAAATTTTGGGCATTTCCTTCTATCAGGACTACCAACGTACGGTTCTAGCTTTAGCACAATGCAAGTGCAGGGACCACTAATGTAGGTACTAGTTACAGTTGAAACATGCTGATAATTCCTATAAAAAAAGAAACATGCTGATAATTCCACCAGACCGCATAGCATAGCAACACTAGCAACAGATTTCCACTCGAGTTCTAACCACTGAGAAAATATATTGGGAGTTCGACAAGATGTTGGGCATACATACAAATCTGCCAAGAAAAAAAAACAAAGCAAAAGAGGGTCCCTACATCGTACCCTCTTAGTACAAGCTCATGGATATTCGCCTTGTTCGCTTGAGCTACTTTTCAGCTATGGAACATTATTTTTCTCTTACAACATTTCAGCTTAAGCATCAGCATAAGTCAAATTTCAGTATAAGCGAACAGGACCATTATCTATATATATCCACCCGCAAATTAATGATTAGCAAACAGGCGTTAATGTGGTGACCGGAATGATTCGACGTAGAGGAATTCCTTCACCATCTTTGTCTGTTTGCTTTGAGAACCGCACTGAAGAAGATGTAGGAAGACTGGAAGGAGGATGAAGTCGAAAGCCCTACATAAACACATGAAAAATAATAGTCTCAGAACATGTAACCCACAAAGGAAGGAAGATAGAAAAGTTGGTATGATGAGAAATCCGTACTACCATCAGCCATGTCTTTTGTTTTATGTAGAAGAAAAGTTCCAGAAAGGATCGTAACAAAGCCACACATCTCAGTCACAATTTGTGTAGGATTTTGCCTGTCCCAGTCCTGCACACAGATACAAAAATGGAACTAAGTGGTATCATCTGCTGAGTTCTATCTATTCCAGAAGTATTCACAGGCTATTCCTGAAGCTCAGGCTCATACCATTTCTTATATAGTTTACTTTAATGCAATCCGAGGAAAACTCATAAATTTATATTTGAAATTGGATAGGAACACTGGCTGAATCACTATCTAGTGCCCTGCTCAAATTTCACAACCAAAGCATGAAGCTGAAAAGATAAGCTACAGCAATTGAAACACATACCTTGAACATGATGACACTTGCCAAGATAGTTAAAGATGTGAACATGGCATAATAAATGGGTGACACAACTGCTGTATTAAACGTGTCAAGTGCCTGCATACAAGGGCGTACCCAGTGCAGAGAGCTCCCGCTCTGTGCGGGGTCTGGGGAAGGGTGTCAGTGCCAACCCTTACCCTCGCCTGTGCAATGCGAGGAGACCGCGACTCGAACCTGGAACCTTCCGGTCACAGGCGGTAAGACTCTACCGCTTGCACCAGGCCCGCCCTTCTAGTGCCTGCATACAAGGAGTAAAAGAAATCACCATCACCATTTGTTTTAGGAAAATATAATGCTTCATTGGTTAGGCAAGGCTGATGTCATGGTGAATCAATTGAACTTGGCTCTATATAGTGCTAACTAAAGCTTTAACCATCCAATCATATCACCAATTTTACCAGAACATTCACACTTCATTTCCCTAAGGTATCAAACCTATCGGAGTTCCCAACATCTGGGGACTACTAGTCCTGCTGGACTAGAGAATAACAAGATAAATAATAAATGAATGGGTCATATGCCCTTATGCCAATCTCCTCTTTTTTTGTCCAGTTAACTTCTAGAATCCTAGTCACCCTTGTATTATGCTGCTATGCTAGATCAAGGAAAGAAGAAAACAACAACTGGTTCAGATAGTTGAAATCAAAATACCTTTTTTAGCAAAAAACAGCAGAGGTTTCAAAAATCAGAATACAGGCAAGGAGAAAAGAAGAAAATAACTGTACAATATCTATACAGGAAAGGAATTCCAGAAGATATGATTATACAAAGGAATTAATCCAAGAACACAGGGAATACTTTAATTTCGCTTTCAAAAAAAAATCAGAATACCTTGTTCAAGTAATTCATTTGGGTAATGATACATGAGATGACAACCTGAGTAAAAGCCCATGTCTGTGGGTATATAAGCTATCTATCTATTAGAATGAAACAGAAGAAAAAGAAGAGGCAAGCGCTTACTTGTTATCATGCTAACCCACCAAAGAGGCTCATATAAATAAGAATAACCATCAACCCCTGCGATAACATGGAACATTAATACTGCAGTTTGCTAGTATAAGTGACAGACACCTCAGGAAAAGAGTACAAAATGAGCCTGAAAATTGCGATACAAACTCCTGTAGGAGGAGGAGGGGGGTTGGAGATACAACATGACATAGGTGTTCTCGATTTTGGGCATAAGTCATAGGTGTCATGTACGTGAGTATCAGACAGTGAATTTTTTAAGTCAGATCACACGTTACTTACCTGCAATGCAATGCAACACTTACTTACCAACAAAGTAGTTTGCTTGGGAAAGGTGTGACATTTTGGTGTAGCACAAATTCAGTAAGCTTTAGTCAGTTAATCACTGAAGCAATTGAACTCCAACTGCAGCTGTTACATAAACTATAACAGATGGTGTGATTCACCTTCATTTCTGGTGGATCAGAGATAACAGATGGTCCACTGTAAGAGGTAGGAGTACACAATAACACAAGAATAAATAACTAGCCGATGGTCTCATCGAGTGAGTAATATAGTACACAGCAATACCATCTGCACGGCACAAAGAAATAGAAATGAGGCTGTTTTCTGTCACATATAGACAGTAGTAACACTTGTTGTCCAAGCACACACACCCTACTACCATATGCTCAGGGGGCTAGCGTCATGAGAGTATAAGCACCAGTAGGGGGGAAAATAAAACCCAGCAGATTACAACATGCTGCCACATCGCAAGGCCACCTTGTTGATTCAGTCAGATCAGAGCTTACTAGATGCTACACCGAGATACTTGGAGTAGCGAGCTTGAGCGATGATTTTGCCAGATTTCTTCTTCAGTTCCACAACGGCCACCCCTACTGCCTTGCCAGCGCGCAGAACTTTCGCTTCGATATCAATCTCATCCTGCACGAAACCAAGCATCACATGCCTGTCAGTGTCAGCATCAGTCCCTAAATCCGAAAACACCATCGTCCATAACAAATCAACGTCAGAAGTGAAGACCGATTATTTACTCAATTAATAGTCTGGCTTGCTCGTCGTCCACATACCAATAGAAAGAAGTAAAAGGGAAATAACTTGACACATTCTGGCTTTAGCACCAGAACACTGCTAATATGAACTGTGAATCGAGGAGGTGTGATCATGATTACACCTACAATGACGATTCGTAACAGAAATGTTTGAATCCACCCAGCTCATGATAATCATGCTGCCAATACAAGAGAAACCGGAAAACGTGCTTATTCCCAAATCACAATGGTGTGATGACATGGGTACATAACACAATCCTGCTTATTCATCGGCATCACCTACCAAGTGTGAATGCCAGAGCATGCTATTAGGCTCACTGGCTAACAGGCAGGACGAGGCATGTGTCTCGTTTCATCAAAGATTAGATGAGGCTCTTGTGCTGTGTTCATCTTGTTGCAGCCAATTATACCAATTGGGTAATTTGTCAAGTCTCAAGTGTCAGCCACCTATCCTATACTACATCCTAGTAATTTGTGGAGTAGTGAAAATTCCTCCAAGAGTGTGCAACCAATGAACCAAGTATGGTCGTACAGATCATAGATGGCATACATATATATTTGCTTACTATATATATGCTGCGTTGCCTACCCCAACTTGGGACTGAAAGGCTATTTACGGCTATGTCGTTGTTGTTGTTGATGATGATATATGCTGCGTCTGATACTGTAGTACTAGTGTGTAGTAGTAGCAGCGGTAGTCAGTAAAGATGGGGAGCAGGGATCAAGGTTACTCACATCAGCAAAAGCAGCATCAAGGTAGGAGATGTTCATCTCAAGGGGTGAGCCCCTGGTGCGGAGACCGGCAGTGGCGAAGGCGGCGGAGGCAACCAAATCGACTAGGGAGGCGGTTGCACCGCCGTGCAGGAAGCCGCCCGAATTCTGCATCGAGAAGCATTCAGTCTCAGGGATCAGGAGTCAGAGAGAACAGGAGATAGAAGGGGGCAAGGTGGCTGACGAGTAGTCTGGAGGGGACGGTGAAGTGGCAGAGGAGTGTGCCGGGCTGGAGGGCCTGGACGATGCGGATTCCCCTGAGGACGAAGGCGTCGTAGAACCCCGAGGGCAGGCTGGGCAGCTGCCCCGCCTCCGCCTCCGCCTCTACCTCAGTCGTGGAGGTCACCTCCAGCAGCCGCCTCGCCGTCTCCAACGAGTCGGAGGCCATCGCAATTCGATTCCCGTCCCCGTTCCTTCCCACCGGAATCGACGAAGAGGGCCAAAGCGAGAAAGAGACGACACAGGTAGTCTCCCCAGAGGGACAAGGGGGAGAGGCGTCCCCACGTCTTTACGCTTTCAAAGCCAACTCACGTAATACGTGAACGGCGCCTTCTCTCCTTCGTTCCTGCCGGCGGCGATGACTGATGAGATGAGGATGGCCGCCGTCTTCGGCGAGGCCAAGCCGGAGAAATCCGACAACGAAGCCGATGCTCTCCCGTGCCGACCTGTGCTCTTCCGCGCCTACTCCCACTCCCACTCCCAGAGCGGCCTCCGCGTCGTCGCCACCGACCTCCACTCCCTCGCCTGGCATAGCTCCCTCGACCTCGACGGCCTCCGCGACCTCGTACGTTGCGTTGCGTGCCCCCCTCCTCCCCTCCCTCTCTCTCACTCCATTGCAATCCGCTGATGTTTGCGTATTGTGTTGCTCGAATCAATCGATGGTTGCGTCGCGCTATGCCGCCTCCGAATTCAAATCTAAATCTGAAGCAAGATGACGTTGGCATCGCTGGCTCCTGGTCCGACTTCCTCGACTACCTCAATTCTTCCTTGTCTTCCGGCCATGTCAGGCTCCTCTTCCCTGACGCTGCCCGAGGTATTCAGTTCATATCTTCTCCATCCTACTCCTACACTAAACTACCCTGCCTGGCTGAACGCCTTCGCCTACCTGTACACGAACACGATGTCGTATGCAGGTCCTGATACCGCTGAGCTTGTGGCTACCAAGGCGAAGGGACTACCTCGCATCACTATCTCTCTCGATAGAGTTGCTGCATCTGCACTCAAAGATGTCATTGCTGATTTCTCACTTGCGCTCTATGAATCTTACAAGACCAAGCAGGAACATGCATCCAGAGGTGGTTCTTTTGGCTTGTTGCTTATTCGTCTTTATTCCTAATTGTTCCTTTTCAATATCTTCATTATTAACCGCAACGAGGAAATTTTAATTTATTTATCATCTTTGTGCCAAATTCTGTTTTCCTTCTTTTGCAGAACAAGACCAAGTGTCACAGCTCATGCAAAGTCTAGCCTCTGAAAGAGTAGGTTATGCCACCATTACCTGCTATATATATTATTGGTACTGGTGCTCTTGCTTATGCAGCTGCTTGATGAATAAAGTTGGGTACACAGTGTCTTAATATAGCTTATTGATTTGACATACATTTTGCCTGTCAGAATGTCAAGCAATTTTGCAGTCTACTCTGGGTTGCCATAGAATGTTAAAGCAGTTTTTGGCAGCCTAAAAACTAACGCCTAGCTGTTTATAATGTATATAAATGCTTATATTCAGTGCTCCATTCTTTTCGTAAAATGCTTCTGAGTCATGAAATTAAGTTCCAACACATTGGTTTCATGTGTTAGCCTAGCGTTATAACATAGTATTAGATATCAGTTCCTTTTTCTCACTTTTGAGAGAACCATTGGGTTTCATTTTGTGATCTAATACAGCAAAACACTTCATTATGCAGTTTTCTTGGTTCAATATTTGGGTATTTAGAATGCATTACGGTGATGTTTGTAGCCCCTGGATGCATTTATTGTTGTATTTTACAGGAAAAAAACGAAGTAATGCAAAAGCAACTTGAAGCCCTTTCATTCCTCGACAAAAGAAAGGCTACAAAGCCAAAGCTGTTGACTGATCAGGTTCCAAGTGTATCGAGTGCACCTCCAAGCTCTGATCAAATTATTGTTCCTGCACAGCAGCAAACACCAGGTTACATGGCTTCTTCTTCTTTTCTTTTTTTATTGTATTGTAAACTACATGGCTTCTTCTTGATGCATACTTGCAAGTAAGAAAGAATCAAAACTGTGTCAGCTTACAGATTTGCAAACCTGCAGTGGCTTTGCCTAGCAAAGTTCCTCCTGCCAAAGCTACGAAGCGATTGGCCCCTGTGTCTCGGAGGTTGTACACAACCATTGAAAGACTACTTTTATCTGAGTTGAAGTTAATTCATATCTGATATCCTGCTGGTACTGATGTTTTCTGTTATTATTTTATTAGGGCAAGAGTACGAGGAGCTTTGTTGCAAGATACTGAAGAAAATGACGATGATAATAGTTAGATATTGCTGATTTATCGGTGTTGATTGACTCTTTGGAATGTAAACCTATTACATTTTGGTGAGACTTAGTTTTGTGGCTGCTTGACTTATATCAAACATGTGGAATTAAAGTACATGTAGCTCATTGTGTAGAAAAGGTATGACACTAAGTTCCTAAAAGAAAGGATTGTTTCCCTACCATATTGTATCTTTTAAACTTGTCTGTTTGGTGTTTGCTCTGGATGAGCTTAGGGTGCTTATCAATACGCATCTATAGCTGTTTCAGTAAAGTTATCTTCTATTTTTTTAATTGAAATCGTGTATTGTTGATGATGAACTTTATTAAAAAATAGCATACATAACTTATGTACATAACACTCTGCACGTAACCTGCAGCATGAACAAGTTTAGCAGCCGTTTTGCCATGTTAGCAACTTGGCACAGCTATGAACGGAATGTAACTTTGAACTACTGTACAAATGAAGGTCATGTACAAGCACCCCTCCCTATTGATTGATCCCCTGCCTCAAGTTTCCTACAGGCAGAAGTGTCCACTGGCTGCCAGTTTTGCCTTGAATTGAAGAGTGGATTGCAGCTCATTGATTTCCTGCAAATTTGTGTTTCGTCCTGCACTTGCATGCATTGAGGAGTGGATTGCAGCTCATTGATTTCCTGTAAGTTTGTGTTTCGCCTTGTACTTGCTTGAATTGAAGAATGGATAGCAGCTCATTGGTTTCCTGCAAATTTGTATATCAGCTGCTTATGCTTATAAAGATGAAAAAGATGTGTTTCCCTTTTTTTTACTTGTGCAGGTAAAGCATTCCCCCGGTGGTGTTATTATGCATGCATTGCTTCTGATGGAATGACGAGATGGTTGGTTAGACAAGAATACGGTGGCCATCTTTTTAGTTAGACAAGAATAGAAGGTGAGAGAATGCAGCTTATTTCAACCCTGGAACATGCTACTACCTTTTAGTACTATCGTGGTAGCCATTGCTGTGTGTGTCATTTTCCACGGAACGAGAATGACCATGGTTGGCTGGCGCTCTCTTTTTTCGCAGCACAGATACAGTCATTGAGCTACTGGAGAAGCTCTTGTTCCTCCTCCCACCACCAAAAGAAGAAGAAGCAGCTGCTCTTGATGGCGAGGGCATGAAGAGCTTAGTGATGAAGCTGCCTGCTCCCTCCATAGAGATAGAGGGAGTACTCTTGTGCCGGCAGGGCAAACTCCTTGTGGGTGTGGCCCTAGGAGGAGGAGGAGGAGGAGGCAGTGACAGCTCGGTGATGTCTCGCAACGACAGTTCATAGGCTTCCTCGGGCAGATTGTCTGCCACTCGAAGCATCATCTCCTGGTGGTACCTGTTGATCACCTCTGCCTCTGCGTCATCCATCCACAGCCGCTTATTCGAGTAGCAGTTGGCGAGCTTGGATTGTTGGATCCAGGATTCGTAGTCGAAGTCGAGTGCGTCCTCATGGGTTTCTGATGAGAATGAGACTGGGCTTGCGAAGGTGAAGGGAGGAGGAGAGGCAGATGTAGAAGCCATAGTGAAACGTATGTTTTGGGTGACTGCTTACAAACTTTACTAGCCTCATGTCTTTACTTATACTCTTGTACGTATGTACTACCTGTTACTCAACGCAGATTGATTCGTTGGTTGGTTGGTTGAGGAGAAGGTGATCGAGTCGTCTGGTAACTATGGAAATCTAGCACGTACAGCAGGCTGGCAATTGCCAAGTAAGACCGCCTACTTTCTTTGAATCGGACATACGGAATGGATTAACTTTGTTTGATCAAAGAGCTAAAGTCCTGCTGCTTGCTAGTGGCGGCTCAAATTGCCAGGCATGTACGGCACGGCGAGCAGCCAACTCACTACCAACGAATAGAACTAAGTAAACAAAATCACCATGAAATTGTCCATCGCACGCAATATATAATTGTGCTACACACACACTGTAAATGAACACTTGTAATGATAACAATAAGATATGTCTCTATCTCTATCTATCCATCTATATCTCTACGACTAAAAAGAACCGGATGTTATCGTCACATTAGTACTAACGGTAATGCTATGATTAGGGCGTTCGGACTATCGACACTACGTGGCTTCACGTCGTTCACGTATTCACGAATATTTGATACTCCCACGCCGCCACCAAAAAAATCCCCCACTCCACAAGCTGCTTGCCGTAAGCCACAAGTTGCACGCGGCACACATGTTCCGCTCTCCTCCTCCATGGTCGCACCCTGGCCTTCAATCGAGGTTCGGACCCCCGACGACTCGCCACGGTCCACCGCCGCTCTCCTCTCCTCCACCATGGCCGCATCCCAGCCTTCATTCGCCCCCCGCATCATGCTCCTCACTGTGGCCCTCGCTACCACCACGACCTTCGTCCTGCTTCACCTGCCCCTCATCGTCGTGACCGTGACGTCCGCTGCCACGCGGCCGCTCTCTAAGCTCCCCCAAGCTCGTGGTTGCTCATATCCTTTGATGGCTTCCGCTTCGGATACTAGTACAAGGTCCCTCTCCCGCACATCCGCCGCCTCATCGCCGGCGACGGCTTCGGCGTCCTCCTCATCACCTCCTCCTGTGGCTAGAGACGGCAAGGGCGTCGTGGCCGTGCCGTACTTCGCGACCGCCTCGAGGCTTGCCAAGCATGGTGGTCGCCGTCCAGAGTGTCGCGTCAGACATGTTGCAAGCGTATGTTTCAAGTGTTTCATGGGTTTCATATGCATGTTGCAAGTGTTTCATGTGGATGTTGCGAAAGTAGATCGGGATGTTACATATGTAGCAATGGCTATACACATGTGTTGCAAGCGTATATTTCAAATGTTTTTTTTTTCATACGTATGTTAGTAACGCTACCCACCATGATCACATCACCTCATGTTCATAGTGTCGCCCATGATGAGCTACATATACTTTGACAAATAGAGAGGCCAAAATATGATTCAAAGTTGCCTGGAAACCATATCACATCACCTCATGTTCGTAATGCCACCCAAGATCAAGCATTCACCTCCCACGTCGATTTGGAGCACCTGAAAAATGCCTACGTTCGGTTATCTTGGAATGGGGCTCTGAACCAATCCAGCTAATCAATTGTTATACAAATAAGCCAATCTTTCCAGCTGAAAATCGTTCTAGGGAATGGTTCCTAGGGAACCTAACAAGCCTTAAAAATATCTGTAAGCCACTAGCCAGGCAGCGAGGAGGCACAAGATGCCTAAACAACTTTTGGAGCACTTGAAAGATGTCTGAATTATGAATTTGTGCCCTCGGTGGAATCATTCGCTAGAACAAACAAATTCGAATTGATCCATGGGCTGCGAAGTAGTTTAATTCACAGAGAATCGCACGTGTACCCTATATTGGAGTCAAAAAATCACGACATGATCAAGGTTGTATTTTTGGGTGTTGTAAAAAAAAGGTTATATTTTTGGGGAACTGAAACCACAGGTGACTACGGTTTATCTGTATCTGTTCATTCTCATTTTCAGATTTTCCGAAAGATGTGACACCTGTTAGAACTTTCGAGTGTAGGAACTTCCGACATAGGTCGGAACTTCCAGCAGCTAGTGGAGCGTCTCTCCGGAAGCGTAATTCCTTCATCCAAACTCTGAATTGGACGTTCCGTTTTTGACCATCTCGACAAGAGGAACGTTATGATAAAGTCCGTTTCATATTTTGACAACTTCACAAAATGGACAATTTTGGTTGTCAACAATAACTATCTATTATTGACCTGTCCTAATTTCCATCCATTCATGTACTACTGAAATGTAATCTCAGACTGTAAATGCAAGAAACAGGACGATTGAAAAGTGAAGTATTCCCTCCAGTGGACTAGAACAGGTACCTCCATAAGAACCTCGTTCATCACCTGAGCGTCAGCATGCCCGCGGGGGTCATCGTAGAGCTGACCAGGGTCGCCGAGGGGATACGAGGCGCGACCTCCGTCCCACGATCAATTGGTGGCGTGGATAGGACGCTGGAGGCACTGACGCTAATGGGGATGGACGTGGGGTCCATGCCAACACGGGTCCATGACATGCGTCTTGTTCGGTTGAGGTTGGCTGGCCAGCCCCCTCACATACACTATTTATATGAACCACCAGCGGTACTTTTCTCACGTAAACGAATCAGCAACGATACGAACCAACCAACCGAACAGACTGATGGTCGTTGCTGTCCAGACACAGGTGAGTTGCAATAAATAAAAGTTTTTTTTTCTCAGCTTTGTTTTTTATTGGAATTGAACTATTTTTTGCTGCTCAGTATGGACAAGCCAAGGAGACGGTGCAGGAGCTATAGGCTCGTCTCCACACAGCGAAGGGGACCCTGCACACAGTGGTGAACCAAAAATTTTGATTAAAGGGGAAAGGACAAATAGGATGGCATCTCTAATAAGAGAAAAAATATATACATAGGTGTACGACAACTTTTTCAATATTTCTACATATGCGGTTAGTATTTATAATAAACAATCATAACATTATGCTAAAAATAGATGAACTTATGCCTTTCTGTGTTGTAAATTAAAAGACTCACTAGATATATGGCCGTACGTTACATGGAGGGCCACATTTTTTTTTACTAAACCTCATTTGGACACAAACGCGTGAGCTCCGAGGATTTCATATATCGGATGCGAACGTGTGGATCCTGTCTTTGTATTGAAACCGGATTGGACGCGGACGCGTGAGCTTTCAGTGGAGGATGATTTGTATCAGACGTGAACGCATGAGCAGGGATCTAGATTTGGTATCACCGGGTAGGTTTGGTACTGAGTAGATTTGGTAAAATAATAGATACACCCTCCATCCCTAAATAAGTGCCGTTCTCATTTTCCAAGGAGTCAAACATTTTTTAACTTTAACCAAATATTTATAAGAAAATTATATTAAATAATTAGTATTATTAGATAGAATGTTGAATATCTATTTTTATAGTAAACTTATTTTTAGAGATATAAACTTAAGAAAGTTTGTCCGGTATGTAACAACACTTATTTTAGAACGAAGAGAGTATAAAATATGTCTGGTAGAGAAACGTCTCGTTCCTTCCTCGTGGAGTTAAACCTGCATGCAGCCATGCAAGAACACTACTGCTCCTCTCTCTCTTTTTTGGCCGCGCGTAGTTTGCATGGAGCCATGCAGGGAAAGGCTGCGGATACGCGTGTAGCGCTTGAGTACGAAGTGCCATAAACGGAGTTTGGCGCAGGAACCGCTACGTGAAAAAACGATTTTTTTAGCAACGGTTTGTTTTTTTTAGGGTTGGCTGGTGATGGAGCCGTCCCTACAATAACGTGCTTGGGTACCCAGACATCAGCCACTCCTACAAATGAAACAGCAGGGGCGGCTGGTGATACGAGCCACCCCTACAAGGAGTCTGATTTGTAGGATCGGCTCAATCACCAGCCGCCCCTAGAGTTGCTATTTATAGGGGCGGCTGGTAATTGAGCCGCCCTACAAATAGTCCCGTATATATAGCTCCTATTTGTAGGGACGGCTCAATCACTAGCCGCCCCTACAAATGACCCACATATAAACCAAACTGTAGCATCTTCTTTCTACTCGGGTCACTCACTCCAACCCGTAAAAGAAAGGTGGGGATGCCTTAGGCACCTCCTAAAAATTACTCTACTAAAGGGGTAAGATTTTGGTCTCAAATCCTTTGGTAGAGAGGTTGTAGAAGATAAAAAAATGCTATTACATACTTTTTTGAAGTTTTAATGGTTGGTCAGTGAGTAATTAGAGTTTTGTTTTTCTCTCTCTTCTATGGTGCTTGAGCTACTTATGAAGCAAATTAGACCCAAATTTTAAATGTACTAAGGTAAATTAGGAAGGGGAATAAGATCATACCCTTATTTGATCCATGTTTCTTGATTTTAGTGAATAATTAGTTAGTTTTATAGATGTTTCATGTGCATGTAGATCTAGATCTAGGGTTTGGTTTTTTTATTAATTTCGTTTTTGTAAATTTATGTTTGATGAAATTTGGCTAGGGTTTGTATGAAAGATATTTGGTAAAGTATAATTGTTGCTAATTGTTGTCTTTGAAATTGTTTATTGTAATCAATAAATATGTATTTTAATTATTTATGGATAAATAGGTTATTAATTAATTTTCCTCTACCATGGTGTGTTTGTATGCTTCATGTAATTATATTAGATTTATATTCATATATATCTGAAGTATATACAATTATTCTCAAGTAATTATTACTTTGATTTATTTTTATATATTTCTAAATAAGTAGTCATTTAATGTTTGTTTTGTTGTTGTCGTAAAAGATGGAGTACAGAAACTCTTGTATGTATGGTTCGTTAAGGTTCAAGGCAGGTTTCCGTGAAGAGGTGGATAAATTTATTGAAGCCGCAAAGAAGCATGCAACGACATTGAAAGAGAATAAGGATACAATTATTTGCCCATGTAAAGATTGCAAAAACCGTATGGCATGGACAGAAGTGACTATCATCATATTTTGATTATGCGAGGATTTGTTGAGGACTACACAATGTGGATTCATCATAGTGAAA